TAACTTTTTGCCCCGAAAAACTATAATTTCTCTATAATTCACTTTTGGCTGAACGGAAATACCCCCACCTCTCCTTAACTTTCCTTTATTTTTTCCACTATTCGACTTGAAAAAACTAAAAAAAAGTGCTTTTCCATCAACAAAAAAAAAGAAGCTAGACAGGAAATATCAAGCCTTGCAGAAAATTTAGCAAAAATGCAAAATTCGAAAGATCTAAATAAATTACTGCATTAACAAAATCGATTAAAGCTCACAAAGGAAAATACGACGAAGAAAGGATGCAAGTTTATACATCATACTTATCTACACCTATGTTTTCGTGCACTAATCTTATGCTTCGAATACTTGGATCAGCTGCTATCTAATTCAACTGCAATTCTCGATTCTGTAATGAACGAACGGAGGAAGAGCCCAAAAAAGGTTGAGTCTAATATTCGAGGAGACGAACTATCGACCAAGGCGCAGATTACAATCTCTTTACCGTCACCTGTCTCCGAGGTCGTAACACTGTAGTTCATACACACACACACACACACACACACACACACACAAACACACATACATTCGTAATATAGCCCTCAGATCCACAAATCTGTGAGGAAGACGCGGACTGCTATAGCATACACTGCTTTAGCATAACATCAGTTGTGTCCTTATCGATTTAGTTAGTCAGTTATGGACTGGCAGATATTCCTAATCCCTCGTTATCCACGTCAATGAATTTGCTTAAAATGGCACGGTTTCGGGAATTAAATTTTAATAGAGCTGTCTGTATTATATTTGTATTATATCCTCTGTGCTATAGCATAACTGTCCAGCAATGGGAGCTTGGCTGCGGCTCGCGGATTTAGGGGATCTCTGGACTAAAAGCTGCAGAGGGCCTACTGACTAGTATTGGTGAGCGAGTAAAGCTATTATCCAGTTTCATAGTTTGCTACTTCATCTATGCTAAAGGCGACTTTTCCTTTTGTTTTGATCAATACCGCCCTGCCTGGCTATTTACCTACTATCGCTTCTACAGTTTTTTGAAAATACCGGCTCAACCACTCTTCGGTCGCAAGTTTTGGCGAAGGTTTCAGTACTAATGGCGACTTTTCCGTTTGCTTTGGTCAATATCGTCTTGCCTGGCCATCTATCTACTATCGTTTCTACAGTTTTTTGAAAATACCGACTCAACCACACTTTGGTCACAAGTTTTGGCAAAGGTTTCAATGCTAATGGCGACTTTTCCGTTTGTTTTGATCAATACCGCCTTGCCTGGCTGTAGACCTACTATAGTTTCTACGGTTTTTTGAAAATACCAGCTCAACCGCTCCTCGGTCACAAGTTTTGGCAAAAGTTTCCGTCGCGCTGTAAGTTAAGTAACATGAAATCTTCCCAAAGGTCTTCACATTAAAATCAATGAGATTAAAAATACTCTAGATCATCCAAAATGAGGAGACCAGTGAAGAATTAGGTTACCTCCTGGAAACGATCCAACAATTCCGGTGAAGCTGGTGTTTTTGATTTCTCCAAAACTGTCATAAATAGCTCGGCGAGATCGATTGCACTTGTCATTTCCTTCACTGCAAATATAAATTTTCCCAATTTTTAATGCTTACTGACCAAAAACCTGAGTTTTACTCGTTCACTGAGCCTTTCTACGCTTTCTCCCAGCTGATTTGGTTATAAATTCGAAACACTTATCTCGATTTTCACATTTGAAAATGCATATTTATCTCGAATATATTATTACTCGACAAAAGTCTAAGCAGTGTCCAGGCACATCCAAGAACAAACTCCGGTAATTCGAAGCCGAGAATAGCCGAATTTTGTCCGATTATGTTTTCATTTTATTTTGTTTTTAACTTTTAATTTTTGCAACCTTTTTCATAACCATAAAATATCTAAATTTAAATTTACGTGGTGTCTTTTTTGCTTCTTCCCTACATTACGTTCTGTGTTGTGTGATTAAGGACCAGACCGGTGATATTACTGGCGACGAACGATGAACAAATAACAACGAAAAAACTGCTGGCGTAAAGGCCTCCTAATATACAACATGATTCTCCGAAGGGATCTCCTTATATAAAAATTACCCCGTAGGCAAGCGTCTGCGGGGTGATTAGTACACAGCGGTGCAGCATGATCGATAAAGCAAGCCGCGACATGAACTTACATACTTTCACTTTTCACTTCTACACTATCAAAATAGAGGAATAGAAGGATTATTTCACTTGAATGTCATGTGTGTATGAAGACATTTTATGGCTCAGTTTGTGTTTCATCCCTTAGCTGTATACACAGACTGAACTGTGCGTGCGGATAAGAGTGGGAATCATTAGTACAGCCTCCTACCCGCCATGTTTCGAATAGTCATGTAACTAATTTGCAAGACGGATTAGAAAAAGAAAAAGAAATAGTGAAGGAGCAAACAAAGTGAGAGAGAGGAAGGAAAGAAGGGAAGTTAAAACGTGATATGAACAATCATTATATTAAATTATTGCTGATTAGGTGTTTATTTTCTGAATTATCAGGGAAGATGAATTTGCTCAGTACTGATCGGTTCCTGAAGCAAAATCTGAGAACGGAGCGTTCTAGTTTGGTAATATCAAACTTTTTTTGTTTTATAGATACTTATGAGCAGCCTAGCTCAGTTTTAGAAATTTTATTCAATTATCTTCCTGCTAAATATATTTATTATTGTTACCACAACCGTCGTACTGACGAGGCACACGGGATGCTGATATGGCGCAAGTATAACATTTTAGCCGTTAAAAAAATATAGAAGCGTATGGGTAAAAGCTAGACTTGTTTGATTTGACGGTTTCATTATTTTACTAAAATTTCGTAACATTTCACAAGATTTTTATGCGTTTTGTGCTGTGCAATAGCGTTACAAAACGCATATTGTCACGGGGTTGTCTGTGTGTGTGTTTGTGTGTATGTCCCACATTTTGTCCCGCACTTTCAACTCGGAAACCACAAAAGCTAGA